GTCGTCCGTCCGTTCCCACCACCACGTATGTCTTTTCAATATTAACCCTCGCGGAAATGGGCCCAGGTCCAAGTGGGGACTCGACTGACGTGGCAATGCCGTGGTCCTCCTCAACATCCCCATGAACTCCCAGCTTGCAAAAGAAACAAAATCCAGGCGACTGTAGAATGTACAAGACTTGCACGTGCTCACGCCCCATGCAAAAGTCGTATATCAAGAGGTTCGCTCGAGCCCCAGGACATAGTGTGTGTTTTGGAACTTTGGGTTCCACGAAGCAAATGGTCGTTAAAGTCGTGAATGCCGAGAGGTGCAGAAAATGTCGAAAATAAGAAAGAAACAGAAAAAAAAGAGATCTCCAAGGAAATGTAGACACAAGGAAATTCGAAAGAGCGAGGTTGGAGTTTTGTACGCAATCTCAACCCGTTCCGTGCTGGTTGAAGAGACGTCTGGCGAGATTGTCGTGGTGGGATGTTGTGATGCTGCTGAAAGAGACCGCTCGCTTGATGCCAGAAAAACGCTGTATATCGAGGCCAATCCGCCTTCTAAGTCATTAAACGGCAACTGGCCACCCGTACAATGCCCAAAGTCTTTCATTACCGCCTGCCGCGCTGGGCTGTCATCGTATGCGCGCGCTGTAGCCCAGGAGTAGGGTCGGCATAGGGTCCGCCAACGGCGCCACCTTCTAGAGTCTTACGACGCTTGAGACCACTCATGTCGTCTCCCTGAACACTGTCGGGGCGGTAGGGATCTTCTTCCTCGTCATCGCGACCACGTTTGCCGGAGTTTACACCGTTAGTGGGAGGATAACCTTGATTGGCGTACTGAGGTACAGCGCCAGGGCCTTGGTAGGCATCATGGGTGGCATTGCCATTTGAAGCACCACGCGGATCGCTCATTACATTGTAAAGGTTGCTGGAAGGTGGTGCTTGACGTTGTGGAGTGGGGTAACCCGAGCTCCACTGCGGCTGGCCAGTGGCAGCTGAACGAGGTGTGGCACGTCCAGAGCCGTTTTGGTGAGGAGAGCCAGTCATCTCGGGAGAGAGGTGGGGGTGATCGGGATGCATGGCTCCAGGTGGGCCGTTGGGTTGGTATCCATACGGGCCCCGGTTGCCATTGTAGGAAGCGTTCGAGTGTGTATACTCGTTGCCGTGATCATGCTCGCCTTCGGTACCTTGCGGCGGCGGGGCAACCTGCTCGTGGCTCTGGGGCATCATGCCGTCGGGTTGCTTGACCTCACCCTCGTCGGGTACGTCATTGATGCGAGATGGGGGTGCCATCTCTGTCTTTGGGTACGAGCCATCCTGGCGGTAACCCATCATTGGCTGTCCCTGGGTGTACTGGCCAGGCTGAGAAGGAGGACCAGAGTACATGGGCCGGGAACCATCAAAGCTTTGACCAGATGCATAGGGCATGCCTTGTTGGACAGCGCCTGGAGGCGTACTCGCAGGTGTTGTAGGTACAGAGCGAGCGTTGCTGAGTCCCGTATCGATGGATAGTGGCTGTCCACCTTGGGGGTTTTGAACGTTGTTGCCGTTCCATTCATAAGAGCTACCCTGGTTGCCCATGCCCATGATGCTCGAAGCGCTGGTGGGAGGAGTAGGGAAAGTATGTGCCCGGTCAATTCCTGGGCGACCAGATGATGGGTGGGGCTGAATGGCGTGCGGGGGCTGAGAAATAGCAGCGCCAATGGGGTTGCTCATCGAATGATGGTGGTGAAGCGACGGAGGCTGCGATGCAGCTGGTCCGGAGAGGTATCGCTGATGAGTCTGCATAGGGTCAGGTCTTCGGTTGCGGTCTACAGCAGCCATGGCAGCGCTCCCTACACTTGACCTCGTCTGATTAGACGGATGATAGAGCAGTGCACCGATGTCATGAACGAACAGAGGGTACAGCTGCTCAGTAATCTTCTCCTTGTTGGCAAACTCGAGGGCTCGCTCAAAGGGAATCCTAAGACATTATAAGCTTATGTAAGATCAAACAAAGTGAAGACTAACCAGACACCCTTGAGGTGCATGGGGCCAATCTTGACAACGTGTCGTGTCTTCTCGCTCTTAAGAATGCCATCTCGTCGACCTCGGGTCATGCCGGCGACGTTGAGAAGCTTAGTTCCATTGATCATGTGATTGTCTACAACGTGTCAGTTGGGTCAATTTCCTACAAGAAAAAAATTTCAACTCACCCTCGCGGCGCGCAACACAAACGCCTTTGGCCTCCACTTGGAAGCAAAGACTGCCTTCGTCTTCCCAGAGAGTGGCAGTCACACGAGGCTTCATTCCTGGAGGAGCAACCTGACCAGTGTGGTCAAAGGTCTGTGTCTGGTAGCTCTGAGAGCCTGGTAGTGATGAAGCTGGTGCACCAGATGACATGGCTGAACATGTTAGCCTTGTATCTATGCCATGAAGAGAGGGAGGGAGGGAGGGGGAAAACTAACCTGGTAGTTGGAGTGTTGAAGGTACCATAGCTTGGTTCATAGATGAAGAAGCTGGAATCTGCGAAGGGACGCCACCAGGGTACCCATATGGCGGGTATCCAGGCGGGCCTTGGTTGTATTGATGTTGAGATTGCATCATTGATGGCTGTGGGGGGTATGAGTAGTGCGACAGCCCCGATGGAGGGGCCGAAGCTGGAGCGTGAGCAGCAGTGGCCATGTGGGATTGATGCACGTCAGCATACGATTGCATCTGGTTCATGCTGTTGTAGCCGCTGGGAGCAAAGCTATATCCCTCCTGGGTGGTGCCAAACGGAGAGCTCTGGACGGACTGCGTGTTCAGAGATTGCGAATCTCGTCTCAGAGACTGGGGAGTATGCTTGGGGGAGGGGGTCTTGAAGCCGGTAGTCTGGCCGTTGACCGACGCAGCGTACGACGTATTGGAACTAGCACTTCCACCGCTCACCGAACCAGAGCTAATGGAATCACCGCGAGGCGATGAGTAGTTTGACGACGAGCTTGGGTGTGACTGAATTTGAGGCAGAGCTGGAAGACGTTCGCCCGAGACGGCAGATTTGGTTGCGTAATGGGATGGGTACCAAGTGTCAGCAGGGCCGCGAGCGTGGACCGACGAGATCGATGGGAGCTCCAGCTTTACGGTATTGACGAGTTCTCGAGTGAGGCTTTGTTGGTGTCCAGGGTTGAGAGGGTTGGCGCAAAGATTCTCGAGTCAGTTGTCCAGAGAGCCGAGCCTGTTGCTGAGAAGGTAAGCACGTGTTCAATGTGATGATTGCCCGCGAGGTGTTGTGGGATGCGGCGAGAGGCTTGACACGGCGAGAGGTTTGACGAAGCGAATAATCTACACCGCAAGTTAGTTGTTTGCTTTGAATGGCGAGGTTGATCGGTTGACTGCAGTGGGGAACCAACGAGACACGGGTAGACGAGGCTACAGACAAGCCAAAGCCTCTACTGGACGCGGAGAAATTTGACGGGTGCAGTGTAGAGAAGCATGATAGCGAGGAGGTCGGTGGGAGGAGGTTTGCGGTCGTGACGGTCGTGGAGGAGGAGGAGTAGGGTGAGGGTGGGTGGAGATACTGACCAGGATGAGTTGGCTGCGAACAGGCGTGACGGGAAAAGGCTATGCGCGCAAGAAGCTGCTGGATCAAGTGAACGCTGCAAACAATGCTGGGGTCTCGAAAAGCTAGTCGTTACGTCGTTGCAGTCGTAAAGCAGGGAAGTGCTGGGTAGTCGACAATGCTTTTGGCGCTCGGTTCAAAACACGCAAAGGGACGAATTGACAAATGCCGGCCTGGAAGAATAGCTGAAGATGTCTGCAAAAGCCACGAACATGTGTTGCGGGGTCGAGTAGAGTGCAGTGTTGTCGTAAACAGTCGTAACGTCGTCGCGCTTCGTTAATGCGGGTCGAGCTGTATCGATAGCGATAGCGGCTGCAAGCGTAGGGAAAAGACTACTGCGCGCACACACGCGTCAGCACTGGTGGACTGGCCGACACTCAAGGGCAGGAGAGCAAGAGAGCTCTGTGCAGGCGGCAAAACGACAGTCTATAGAGGGAAGGGGGGAGGTGGAACAGCCAGAGCGAGCGAAGGGCTTCTTCGCAGACTGCGGTGGGGAGGCGGAGGTATTGAGGCGGAGGTGGTTGGGATGTGCCCTTTGATGCTAGCTAGTGCTGGCCCAACCAGACAAGGCGACCGATAGGCGAGTGCACGGGAAACGCAGGTGGCGAGTCCGGCTAGCAAGAGTCTTGGGGGGGGAGGGGAGGGGGGGGCGGAGCAGCCAGGTGGGCGGAAGGCAGAGAGCAAAGGGCGTATACTCACCACTTCTTCAACGAGCAAACGCGAAGACTGCGAGACAATGGCGAGGGTAGGAGGGTTGTGGTGGGTGTGGAGAAGGAAGTCGTTCTCGTCGGTAATGCTGCAGGATTCTCTGCAGCGCTCGACAGCAGGCAGGCCGCAGCTAAGAGGCAGAGGTGGACAGGCGAGCAGCGCACGCGCCGCAGAGCAGTCTGATGCAAAGTGGCCGCTTTCTCTGGAGACGGCGCGTCCAATGCTTTGGACGGGATCAGTGCACGACGGGCGTCGCTGACAAGTTGTTCCGGGTGAGCAGGCTGTCGCTGTAGCTGCGTCGACGGGCCGGAGCGAATTTGCAGCGCCGGCGGCTCCAGCAGCTGGTGATGCAGAAGGGGGGGAAGACGGGTGCGTGGGCAAGAGATGCAGGCGGAGGGCGGTACGGGACAGGCAGGTAGGCAGGCAGGACAGTATTGTACATACAGTGGCTAGAGATGACGGCCGCTGGACGGGAGGTGGAGATGGATGGATGGCCTGGGGATGGGGCGGGACTCGGTGCAGCAATTAGCAGCCAGCAACGACGACAGCAGCATCAATGGATGGATGGATGGATGGATGGCATGGCCTGGCAGCAATAGCAGCAGCACACATACTTACTGCTGCTGCTGCTTGCTGCTTGCTGCTTGCTGCTACGACTACCTACACACAGACATACCACACACCCCGTCCACCACACACACGAGCCGCTGCGAGCACACAATCTAAATTCACATCGGGCTTGGTGGGGACAGCGTGAAGGGCACCATGGCATGGGCATGGACATGGGCATGGATGGGCATGGGCTGGGCTGGGCTGGGCATGGGCCTGCCAGCAGCAACAGCAGCAATCCCGTCAGAGCAGAGCAGAGCAGAACAGAGAGAGGCAGGCCGTTTCGCTCGCTCGCCCGCCCGCCATGCACGGACGGCGGCGGCCATCATGTCGCCTGCGTGCTGACTGGGCTGATCCGCCGGCGGTGCGGTTGACACGGGCGCTGGGGTGGAGAGAGGGCTGCTGACAGGGACAGGCCTGCCCGCCCATACCGCGACGATTATGCACGCAAGCGAGCGTAGCACTCGTCTACCACACAATGGCATCCACGGCGGCCACGACAGATCCCATGTACACCAGCAGATCCCTTGGTTCTGCCACTGCGCTGCGCTGGCCGGCCCCCTCCCTCACGCCCACCCACTGCCCTCCAAGACGCGGCCTGGCCCTCGCAGCTCGACCTCCCTCCTCCACCACCCTTCCCCACTCCCACAATGCCCATCCTCTCACGGCCGGCCTGGCGCGCAAGGGTGTCGCGCTCCAAATTTAGCGGGCGCCTACTTTTTCCTCGCCAGCGTCGCTTCCTGAGGCATCGGCTGCCCTCCCGATGGGGATAACACGGCTGAATCCAGCGGCCACTGAGCGCTGCCGGAGATATTCGAACGCGCACCGCGGCCACACTAGGTCAATTGATAGGGAACAGTCGTTGCAACCGCCCGCCTTGACTAAGCGGCGCCGGACCGTGTAATTGCGGAGCGCAGGCCACACACAGGTCCCAACAACTGAAAGTCCGAAAGCGCACAGTTCAAACGTTGGAGCTTCAAATCACCCTACCCGACTGCTACTCGACTCGACTCTCCCTCTGGTCCGTAGTGTGCATGCCTCTGTCGGCAGTCGGTGCTGCGCCTTCCGCCCACCTGCTACGTATGATTTGCGCGCCTGCGAGTCAGAGCCAAACATTGCACAATGGCACCAAAAAGCAGACAGCAACAAGAAAAGAAAAAGATGCTTGCTTGCTTGCACTGACCTTGACTGCACGCCGCTGCACTGCACTGCCGGACAGCCACGTTCCTTCTGAAACACAATCAACTGCCGCGGCACCCTCATCTGCTGACGATGCTCGTCATCCTCTCCCCTCCCCTCCCCTCCCTCACCCCTTCCCATAACCACACCACCACCGCTACTGTACATACATGGTGAGACGGAGCAATCTGGCCTGCCCAATTTGCAAAGGCCCTCGTCTCATAGATGGATGTCATTCCCTCCACAGGCTAAATGCCCTCTATCCAGTACTTTGCAGGGATGCGCCCGACAGTGAACGGGATAGACGGACGGTAGGCCGTGCAAGCTAGCCGGCCACCTATCGCTGGGCATTGGCCACGCCCCACGTCATTGGCTGGCTAGTCGACATGCTTGATGGGGGCAGCAGCCAGGCCAGAGGCAGACCAGCGGCCATCTGTTCCCCACGAGGGCATCCACTCGACCCGTCGAGTGGGTATCCACGCCCATGAAGCGAAGCATGTGAAGCGTGTGCAACGTGGAAACTCGACAGTGTACGACGGCCATGTCATGTCAGCGGACAATGGCCACCAGAGGGTCACAGCCGAGCCATCCAGCGCCGCGACTGCAAGCGCCGCGGCACTCGCGTCCATGGCCGCTGGTCCTTGAATGCTCCAAAGCCATCCACTCGACAGCAAAGTCGACTGACAAACGTGCCGACTGTAACACGGGCTTGACGTTGGATGTGGACGCCGCAAGGTTTGATAGGGCGTCCGTTAGTTGCGGTGAGTAGATGCGCTGGCCGTGCTAGCCGCATATGGGTAAGCCAAGCCATGGTCACGCTTTCTCACCTCGCCCTCAACAGCCACCCGCACTACCCACCTCCCAGAGTGCAACTCAATATCCATGGCTGTGTCTCGCACTCGGGATGTCTAGGCCCGGCACCTCGGGCAAGGCGTTGTTGCCGTATCACAAGGCCATTCCTTTCGACCAGCTGAAACAAGAGCCCAGATCATAGCAATACCGACAAGGGCGCCACCATGGGCCACAATGTTCAAAAAAGACGAGCAAGGGCTTTTGCATCCCCGTGCATCACGGGACTCGTAGCACGGCGCACGGGAGAGTCCGCCTCTATCCCTGTTGCAACCATGCGAACGGTGCCAGCCTCGATCCTCTGGAACAAGCAGGCCACGGCCATGCACTCACACACTTTGACAGTTGGCACCTCCTCAGCCCAACTTATCGCCTCAGGCGCCAAACTAAGAGTTCGCATCCGTGTCGTGGCTAGCTGCAACATCATACTACAGCCGTGCCCTTTACTTGCTGCCAACTCTGTGTCGACGTGATGCTTGAGCATGCGCTCACTTCAAAAGTTTGGTCGAGAGCAACATGCTGACCCACGCCGTACCACGACTTGATGGCATCATCAGACAAAACGTGACCGGGGAACCGATGGCATCATTACTTGGTGCCAACCACGGTCGGGGGCTGGGTGGGAAACAGCCAAGTCCAGGAACTCGACTACAGTACCGTAGTACGGTTGGCAGTGTGTGTGTGAGGGGGGCACTAGAGGCAAGAGGTATGGCAGAAGCGCTCAAGCGACCCGGGCTGTATCACTGTGTACACACAAAGACTTGCAGTCGAAGAGAGGTGTGGACGATGACCTTTAATGGTCGCAGTCACACGGCGGCCTCGTGGGCTAGGGCGTGTAGCAGATATGCACCGGTGGAAATAAACGTGCAGTGCAGCGCAGCCGGCGCGATGTGGGAGGGAGCGGATCGTGGAGAAAGGCGGGCGTCCGTGTCTACCTCCTACCTGGCACTTGCTACTTGCTACTACTTGCAGTCCCTCCACCTCCACCACCAAGCTGGCCAGAATAGATACTGCAGTTGACCGATGGAAGACGGGGTCCGAGTCAGGCCACTGCATCATCTCAGCACATGACGAAGCTTCTATTTTCCAATACTCTCAGACAGGGTTCATGGCACGGGCGCCCTTGTGTGCTGTAGGAATGTATCAGCCTTTGGTCATCGAGAGCATCGCGTTCTCGTGCAGTGGGGTCTGTGTCCATTCCTGTCCAACTGGCAATAATTAAAGCGCAATCTGGGCTCGGATGTCGCGTACTCACCCCGAATTGGTCTTTGCCACGGCCGCAGTCCACTCTCGCCTGCGCCGCCGCCTGGAGAGACGGCAGAGCCAGCGACGAGGAGCTCAAGGCAAAAAAGGACAGTCGACTAAGCTCTCGCTGCCGCCATCTCTGACCACCTCCATCTCTGCCTCTATCCCGCACCAACGTTCCTGCAGCGTGAGGCAATCCCGCGATGCAGCCACTTGGACTTTGACGGGCCAGAGCTCATATGCAGCGAGCCGCGCCTGCATATGCGTGTGATGTAAGGGAACCCTGCGTGGTGGCAGCTAAGGCGACGCCCCCTCCAACCAGCATGCCAATAGCGGACCCGATGGAAGACGCTGGAGCGGGCGTCTTCGCATGCAGTCGCACCGACCCCCTCGCGTCCGCGCTCTACGGCGCACGAGTCGAGCGCAGACGTGGAGCATCCGGCATGGACATGTAAGTATTGTACATGGCAAGAATGGCATTTTTTCTCTCCTCTGGCACGCAACGATGCCTCTAAGAAGCAGCTGGATCAGCGGCGCATGCTCGTTCGACTGCTCAGATAGGCGTCGGGGCTGCCAATCACCACCGGCCACGTCAGGAAGCCCAGTAGAGCCGTTATCGGGAAGTGGACGGAGCAGGCTAGCCACGACGGCGCCGTGCAGCTCGTGGGGTGCGATGCGGCCGCGTGATTGGTCGGCTCTCGGCTTCACCGGTCTCGCATACTGCTCGCGTCCACTCCACCTGCTCTTCGACGGCCTCAACAAAGTTCAACAAATAGACAATTCCCAAGTGAGGGGTTCATTGTTCGCTCGAGCTGTTTCCCGCCCTACTGCCAACCCCTTCACCGCTCTTCTCGGCTTTGGTTTTTGTTTTTTTCCAACTCATTCATTGTTCGCGCGAATCTACTACTCTAGGTGTAGAGCACTCTACCCAAACCTTCAATAGTCCATTGACCACGGCTCCGGCACTAGCCCGCTGCGCCTCTCCCTTGCGTCGTGACAAACTGGTCCGGCAACGTCGGCCTCGGTCTACACGCAGCATTATAACGGCTGCCAAAAAAGCATGCGGCCATGTCGCAGCAGCACCAGCAGCAGAGCCGCTTGTCACCAAGCCTTTGCATGATCCGCCCGACGTGCTTTACATGCATCGCCTTGGCGTCCCGCCCCAGCTACAGGGCGTGCTGCAGCCTGGAGGCTATGTCATTTCGATTGCGCCTCCTCCCTTCAATGCTAATTGTGGCTGACGCAATACTCGATGTTCGTCATGTAGCTTCTTCGAGACGCCCTATATCAGACGACACCGCTGTTCTAAGAACATGTTGTCTGAGCGCAATCATGCATAGACTGCTTTTGGGTTCGACAGTGTATTTAGCCTGCCGCCGTCTCTATTTGCAACCTCTCAACCATCCACATCAGCCCGTAGACAATGTAATAATGTACATGTCTCGATTCGAATCGCGGTTATGAAAAAAAATCGCTCTGAGCATATTGGCACGGCCCAGTATCACATGGCCAGCTCTGCCCCAACGGGTAATTAATTCCTTTGCTCATGAACTCATCCTAGGACGCTTTCTGCGCCGGCTGCCAAGTGACCTTTGCACGCCGAACCGTAATCATGCCATAGCTTGATGACATGGTGCCGTATAGCATGCTTTTTGGAATTCGCTTGACTCGGAACGTCAATGGTTTTTATCCGACAAGGTGGTATGGGCGGCTGGCTAAATCGCGGCCATCGCTTTACATACGTGCACTCGGGACGATCCATCTGAGCACAATAAATGTTATGGCATCTTGAGGCACTTAGCCCGAAACTCTGCCTTGTAGAGCATCCACTTTTTGTCCTGATGGGAGCTTTTTAGCCTAGTTTGATCATAGCCCAGGCGTGGTCGGTCTTACCTGCGTATCCGAGGGCAAGCAATAACAGGCTCCTGCCGAGATAGTTCTGGTAGGTTTTGTAGCCAATGGCTATCCCATCGGACTAGACACCAGATTGAACAAATCATGACGCTCAGGCCCACCCTGCGTGTAAGCAAACATCCATAGCGACTACCAGCCACGCGTCAGCCGTGGTCCGCACGCAAAACATCACCCGGCTTCTCCAACCATCCGAAGATACATACCCAGCATCAAACGCGCTCGACCAGTTATCCCGGTGTGGGCTGGGGGGGTTGGGAAAATGGGCTGATCTATCACGAAAATCTCTGCATGCATTGCGGGCCGAGACCAGTCGCGCCTGGTACGTGTGCGCGGTTAACGGTAAAACTAGCGTCTTTAGTGATGCGAAGTTGCTGTCCGTGTAGTCGTCTTGAGTGGCTGCCGTTCGCATCCTGCGAACCATGGTACACGCACACGCCATGTTGCCCCCTAACCAAACCATCGCATCAGCTTGAACGAACTGGATGCCCACATCCCAGTGTCACTAATTACGTCCTTGCGCTTGCAAACCCCCGCATCCGACGCGGTGCTTATTGAGAAGGGTGAACCACCGATACTGGGCGCTTGGTTCGACTTACAACGAACTAGCAACTTGGACGTGCTGCTCTCGTGTATCGGACCCGGTGCGTTTCTCGATGGGTACCAGGCGTATGACGTTGTGGATGTTACGGAGTATCAACATCATGGAATATTGGGGACATGTGGTACAATACGTATGGATTTGCATGGCATGGGGAGCAGGGCTTTTTGCGGGGTCCTTTTTTTTGCTCTCGGGAAAAAATACATCCTCGGCTCTACTTTACGCAGTGCCATTATTTCGTTCTCGCGACTCGTATTGTCGACATTAATGGGGTCATCAGAATTAAGCCGGCTTTTTCCGTTGCGTTGCAAAGAAAAAAACCCGAGAAGCAAAAAAAGAAGAAGGGTTTGAAAAAAAAAAGTTTCTGTTCCCATTAAATTTTCCCCACTCCGAATCAAACAAAGCTAGTAAAAATGTTCGGCTGGGAGGGGAGTAAGGGAAGAAAACAATAGATCGAGATTTCAAATGACAGATGGGTTAGACAATAAAGTCTGTATCTCCAAACCCTGAAGAAAAAAAACATCTCACGTGCGCTATTATTGTTTTGCTTTGGGAGACACACGACACAAACTGTATGTACTTACTTCAAATGTACTGGGGGGTAAAAGGCAAGAAAGAAACAAGTCGCCAAGCCCCGTTTCGTTTCCGATTGTACCGTAGTATCTAGCAAGCCCTCTCCCCCCCCTTCCCTTCCCTAGTATTACCCAAGAAAAAAACCCTAGGCAAATCTAGGGCCCTGCGAACACATGATGCACATGAAACACTGGTTGTCGCAAAATCTACACACACACACACACACACACACACACACACACACAGAACCCGCGATTTTGTTTATACGAATGAACGGGGGAACTTGTGTAGAAGTAAATTAGGGGGGAGAGAGCAGCGGGCGCACCCTTCCTTCCTTCGCCCCGTCTTACATTCTGGCGCCCGCCTTTTCTACCACTTAGTACTTACATACTCTTACTACTTTACTTTACACAGCGATAATCTGCCGAGTAATTGACGTGCGTCGTTGCGGCCCGGCTTTGCATTTACTTACCAAAATGGAGCGAAAGAACGTATATAGTTTCGGTTTACTATGTCACGTTTTTTTAAACGCTTTTTTTGCCTTGCATGGGGGAGGGGGGGGGTGAGTATGGGTGAGTGGGTGACCCTGCATTTTTTTGTTTAAAAAAGCTACACACCTACATATACGTATACGAAAGCTTAGTTTGAGTGTTTGGCGAGGTGGAGGGAGGGAGCGGGATGGGCTGGGATTGGATTGGAGGGGAAGGGGTTGCAAGGGGGGAGCTTCTTCGGTCAGCGAGGTGTGTGAAAAGTTGAACCTGCATTTGGGATTGTCCCCCGTTTTTACCCTTTTTCTTTCTTTCGGTCAAATTTTCCTTTGCGTAGCCCTGTTCGTGATCATGCTTCTAATACTTGCTTGTCGCGGATCTTACTGTCATTTGCGGAGCGACACGTTGAACAAGGGTTGTTGTTGGGGAGGGGTGAGGGGGAATTAGGTTGGCCTGTGTTTTTTTGTTTGCTAGGGGGGGCTGTTGGCGGCGGCCGGGTGATTTAGAACGGCGAACAGAATATGGTAAGAAGATGTATGGACTGAACGACGGACGAACTGATATGATCACGTGCGGCGGGTATGATTTGAGATTTGGGGAAGGTTGAGCGTGCGTAGCGGATTACAGTGGAATAGATTTGTACAACTAGTAAGATTATTATTCGCGATGGAGTTTATTTCACGTGTTGTTGAGTTGAATCTGCAAGTGTGGTAGATGCAACGTTGCAATTGCTTGTGCAAGAGTTGTTTTGTAAATGTGTTTTTTTTTTCGTATAGGTTGTAGAGACGTGGTACACGTGTCGGAGATTTATGACTGAATCGATGTATCTAGTACAGACAAGTGACAGACAATCAGTCTAGTAGGGGACATGAGCAGCAAGAACGAATAGCAAGACGTGTGATACCAATCCACCTTGTCCTGTCTCTTGAGGTATTTATCGATTGAGTCATATGTTAGCTGGGTCTTTTCCTTGTTGAAATATATGTCTTATAAATAGGCAGACGAATATACAGTGGTGATGCTGGCAGATTAGCAGCTATATCTACTGTGCTTCCATTTGTGCTATGTAGTCTAAGCGAAAGGAATGTAGCGAATGAGCAACTGCCAGTATGTAAAAGATACAATTAGATTATTGAAGTAGTATTAGTCATTCTGAAGACGTGGTTACAGTGTAGTATATATAAGAATCGATAATAGCTGACCAGTGAACTTACTTCCAGTTACTTTCACCTTTAAACCCCTAAAGAAGCACTTTCTAGTAAAACGATGACAATTTGGTCTCCTATAGTGAATAAAATCTAGATTAGTATCAAGAGCTAGACGAATGCAATGTAGTGAATTACGCTCAAGCGTTCACTAATAGGGCGAACCAAAGACTTGAAGAGAGATTACAACCAAAATCCTATAAGCAATACAGCTGCCTTCAAGATAAAATACTCCCTCAAACCAAACTTTGGTTCTCTGACAGCCGACATCAGAGTCATTTAAATACAGGCCCATCTCCCTCTGTCTTCCTCAGGCAGTCGTGAACATCTTCATCACACACCATCATCTTGACCAAGTCTTTCTTCATCACCACATCATCACCAGCGGTCAAAAAGCATCATCACCATCATCATAATCACCATGCCTTCCTTCACCCTCTTCCCAAAGCTCCCAAAGGAGCTCCGCGAGCAAATCTGGCTGAAAAGCCTCCCCACCACCAGCACCGTCGAGTTCAACGAAGCAGAATTCGACGTCACTTCCATCTCTCCTCCACTCCCCCATCTCCTCACCTCAAAGGAAATGCAGGCCACAGCGCTCTCCTCTCTCTCTCCAACCCCTTACCCCATATGGGGTCCGTCAGACTGGGAAACCCTCCTGCTCGACGGCGAAAAGATGACTTCACAAGTCATCATTCACGCATCAAAATCCGCTTCATTAACTATCACATGGACGGACGTTTGGAGCGTGCTGGGAGATGCGCTGCTGGCGGCGCGGTCGCTTCATTTTGTGTGTCGGGAGCCGGAGCGGTTGGCTCGGCTGTTTATGCTAGAGGAGAAGGAGTGGCTTGGTGTGGGCCAGGCGTGTAATGAAAGGGGGTTGTTTATGAATGAAGAGAGTGTCGCCGGGGAGAGGGCGACGAGAGAGGCGTTGTGGAAGGGGGTGACAGTCACTGCTAGTAAGCATACTGTGGAGGAGGTTGAAGCGGGGTTGGGAAGAGGTGAGGTACATGTGTGGAAGTTGGGAGAGGAGAGGTTTTCGAGGGGGTTTGGGGAGAAGAGTGAGGTGGTGACGACGAGGGGGTTTGAGAGGGTGGAGGTGGAGGGGGCCGAAGGGGCCTCGGTGGCGCAGCTTCATCATGCCGCGAAGGCTTTTGAGCCACGCGGTGGAATGGAGTTGGAGGAGGGAGAGGAGGAGGAGGCGATGCCGAGGTCAGTAGAACTGACTGAGGACGCAATCGCGAGGCACTTGGAGGAGTGCGAGAGGATTTGGCCCCCAGAGCCAAAGGATCCTGGGATGGAGGAAGGGAGCATATCATATCCCGATAATGCTGCCGTTGAGAAGTGGCTTGGATAGCCATGGGACGTTTTTTTCTCAGCACTGGCGCCAGTTTGGAGGTATATCAATTCAGTATCTTTTGGACTTCAGTAATGTGTGTATTTTTTGTGATAAACATCTCTTTCGTGATGAATAATTGTGCTATCTACACTATAGGATTGTAGTATTTGAATTTGTTCTCTGGGTCCCACTCACTCTTCAATTTAGCTAGCCTCTCAAGTCTAGCATTGTATCCATACACCTCGGGCTTTGACTCGTCTCCACTTGCATAGTTGACGTAGCAGTGTCGCTTCTTGCTACTATCTTCGTCGACGCCCCTGTAAAGAGCATTGCGCATTGCATGTATATGACTCTCAGCAACCTTTGTTGTTTCCTTGTCTTCACCAGCCCACCAAATCACTGCGCTCGCAAGGATGGGTAGTTCGCGCTCCTCAGGCGCCAAAGCAGTTGAGTCGGGGTCAATAGCGCGTACTCCCTGCATTCCGTAGTTCTCCATAAGCGTGATGGAAGTATTGAAACGGGGATCAGCTGTGTATTCTCCGAATATCGTAAAGGCTTTGCGAACACCCTGGATGTCCCAAGCAGGCAATGAAACACCAGCTCCTAGAACGTTTTCATTCGATGTACAGGCTTGACTGGTGAGATTGTTTCCAGTCACTGTATATAGCTCGACATAGTTAACAATATCGACCTTGGTAAAGATCGGGCCAAGAGCTATGAAACGTGCAGCATATGGCTCAGCCTGTGCTTGTGAACCCTCATATGCGATAGTGTATAAGACAACAGGCTTAGGAGCAGTTAGCTACGCCATCTTCATAATATTAGAATATAACCTACGTTGATTGGGTCGACAGCGGGAAGTCTTATAAACACTCCGGTTAGTGCCAGTTTTGCCGGACGCTCCGTTGAATCCTCAAAGTCGTTGATTAAACTGAATAACGCCTCAACTTTCTCCGATGAGAAAATCAGAGTATAAACCGTCCAGTCGGATGGGACATCGTAAGTCTTTACTTCAAGGCTAGTAACGATGCCAAAGTTGTGACCGGCTCCTTGCAGTGCCCAGAATAGGTCGGCATTCTTGGTTCGAGAGGCTTCAACAACTTCGCTATTGGCTAGGACTACTCGTGCAGAAACAAGACCATCGACAGAGTAGCCATATTGACCTTGGAGTAGGCTGTGGCCGCCCCCTAATAATGGACCTGCTACTGAAACACAATTCGAAAGTCCAGTGACTATCAGCAGTTTTCGATTAGCTTACCAAACCACTTGACCAAGATATCAAAACACTGGATTATACCTACCGGCGTATTTGCCCAAGGCGAATAGAGAACGGGTTATCTCGTACTGCTTTGTACCACCGCCAACTATTGCCGTCTTTCCATCCTCGCTGAGCGTCGTGGTATTGAGCTTTCTCATGTTGATTTGAATGCCATATGGTAGCTCATTCAGCGTCGTAGTCCACCCGTGCCCACCAGAGATAGCCAAGAACGGGACATTGAACCGATTAGCAAGGGAAACTATTGTCTGCACATCGGTTTCGGTTGCTACTTCGACGACTACATTGTAGTTTGGGGAAATGCGTGGAGAAGACCCGCGAACTTGTAAATCGTCCCAGCGCGCATCCCAAGGGAATGTGATAACAGCATCCTTCGATAGTAGTGGGTGCAACTCTAAGACGACTTGCTTCAGATCATCCGAATTTGCCAATGACCTATGCACGGCGCATAATAGCCAGACGATAATGGGGATGAAAATCATGGGGGTTGATGAGGGACACCTGCAGTTCGGGTTAAGGAACACAAGGGAGAAAGAAAGGGTAGCATGGCAGGTGCAGGAGATAAGAGAACCATTCCTCAAGTTATGCGGACAGTGACTAATCACTTTTCCGGTTGGATCTTAACCGTGCTACTTATCTATCCTTGTCTTTGCTTAGATGCATGAATCCCAGACGATGTACGGGTTCATAGGCAGTGTCCTGCATCCTAGTCCCGAGAGGCTGAAGAAGGAACGCAAACTGCACGCCGACATAGCGGGGTGCCGTAACCAAAGCCATGCTTTTGTGCAAAGGCTGGCTGTGTGGCGAGCTGGTATGCAGGTCTTAGATTAATACTTCGGATTTGATAAAGCTTAGTGTTCCTCTGTACTATTCTCGAATAAGAATGTGTGCTGTGTTACACTGCTATCCGGATTTGGTTTCCACGTCGTCGTGCACTTCGCTTGTTCTCGCCGCACGGTCCTCAGCATTGCGTTTGCAGTACTAGTCTCAGGCGTACCATATCCTTACATTACAATCAGTTGAAATTCAAAGTGAGAAATAGCTGGTATCGTGTCCTCACTCTGTGTCTTGTGTGATATATCGCATTGCCAAATACTAATCATTTCGAAACCTCACCTCGACCGCCACCCTTCTCTCGCTTATGCACCGAGTATCCCAGAGGCTCAAAATGAAGAAGAGTATCCGAGTCTTAAAAACACAAGACTTTAGGTGCATAAGTGGAAAAAGAGAAAAATATATGAATTCTAAGAACCTTGATTTGCTGACAGATTCACATGGCACAACACACATTTCTCAGAGGAGTGTCATTAATAGTCATTGAGGATAACGTATGTTTTCGAACGTAAAAGGCGCTATGTACGTTCAAGATTGCCGTCAGCATTCGCAAATCAGTTGGACTCCGATGCCGATATCGTAGCAATACAACCAAGCACGCTTTCAAAACCACACGAACCTATCTCATTTTCCAACCTACACGCAGCAAGACATGAGAATGCGTTCAACATAACTCTGCTTCCTCACCTCTCTTCCTCAACCGTCCCCCTTAACTTCCCCAACGAATCCACAACAACCACCCTCTCCTCCCCCTCCCCCCCAAACTCAACAATCCTCTCCTCCTCCCCACTCCCCTCCGCATACCAAACACACCTTATCCCCGCTTTCCCCGCAGGCACCACATCTCTATCCCAACTATCCCCCACCATAACCACCTCCCTCCCCTCAACCCCCAGCGTCTGCAGTGCCCTCTCAAACAACCCATCCACCTTCGCCACCCCAACCGCATTCGTAGTAATCAAACGGTCAAAATACGGTTCTAAGCCCAACGCAGCAACTGTGCGTTGCTGAGCATCTTGCGGGCCTTCGGTAACGATGGCTACGTGTTTCCCTTGTTGCTTGAGTGACTTGAGTAGGGGTATTGTACCGGGTTTGAGGGTTAGATGTTGCATCAATGTTTTTTCGTACACGTCGAGTATTTCTGTTACTTGCTCTGGGGTAAGGGAGAGATTGAGAGTTTTCAGTGTGCTTTTAAAGCGGTCGGCGCGATACTCGTGGCTTGTTTTACCGTCTGTGAAGGCGAAGGATGTGGTTTCTTTGAGGACTTTGGAGTATGCTGCTTTTAGGTCGGCGAATGTGATGGCGTCTTTTTGTGGTGTGATGTTCTGGGCGCTTCGTTGTTGGATGATGAGGTGTAATGTTGCGTCGACGGCAGAGGAAGATGCTTTGCGGAATTCGTGGAGAGTATCGTCTAAGTCGAAGAACCACCAAGATGCAGTTTTTAAGTGTTCGCTTCCCATTTTTGAGAAGTTAAGGACAGTAGAGCTGTTGATCAGATTGTTTTGTATGACTTGATATCTCTTTTAAGAGGAGTAGTGGCATACCGTGATTTTGTTGACAAGTTTGCAATCGCCGCATTGGTGCACAGGTGTGCCTTAGCGGGGTACTTAGGGTAGGTTGACGCGACCTCGTATTAAAATTCACGTTAGGTAAAGGCATCTGAGTATTCAATACAAAATTCCAACATATTTGTCCATATACTCTTATCTATTTTCAGATACCGTATGCATTCAATGTGGTATCATGTGGCCCCCGAGTCTCGTGCAAAATACCAAAACGCCAACGCTATGCAGAAAGTGTGATACGATTGCCTTCTCGATACCTTATTGCTCTCGCGCTAGGATCATCTTTTCACGCTCAGCTCTCCGCCTGACCTCGCCCTTCTTTGTATGTCTCCTTTCATTTTCTTCCTTCCTCTTAAGAGACTTGAGTTCCTCATTCTTGATCTCACCAGCCTTCTTGACTGTCTTAGGAAGATGCCTGTGCTTGTGAATGCGCTTGATCTCTGGCATGTGCTTGTATCGCTCCACGAGTGCTTCTTCATATTGAAGTTTTTGTCGCAAGGCAAATGACTTGACGCCGCGTCGTTCGGACGCCCTTGCGCGCCATAAGCGAACATTGCCGTCATCAGATCCACTGAGGACGTAGTTGTTGTCGGGACTCCAGGCGACGGAGAAGACGCGCTGCATCCGCTTTGTATGATAAGTATCACGAGAGTGGCCTTTTTGGCGCTCCCATAATCGGATAGTCTTGTCATAGCTACCAGTGATGAGTTCCTCGCCAGTGGGCGAAAACTCAATCGACATGACTGCCGCAACATGTCCTTTCTGTTTGGTGTCAATGAATGCTTTCTGATGAAGGTTAGGTTGGACAAAGGGCTTACCAGGACTTGCAGAGCCCGCTTCATGTTTCGCATATCGAAAATGTATCCGTTGTGATCTTCCGAGGCAACAGCAAAGTTGTAAGCCTCCATTGGGTTCCAGGAAAGGCAGTTTGCGGCAAAGTTAAGAACAGTGCGGTGAAGAGGCGAGTTTGTGCGTGCATCATATAGGATGACTGCTCTGTCTGTGGCGCATGATGCTAGGATTGAGGTTTCGACCTGATTGAACTTGACATCTGTAATGGTATCGATGGCCTTTTGCACAATTAGTACATGGTATACATTTGGTCAGAAAACAGAACTTACCGATGGCCATACGAGGCTTGATACTGGAGCTCCAGAAGTTCTCGATGTGTCGTATATGGAAATGACGCTAGAACCGGCAGCAAAGGTGGGCAGCGAGCGATGGTGTGTGACGGATGTAAAGGCTGAATTGCCGTGCCAGGTTGCTTTGGGTGGCGACCTAGATGGCTGGGCATAAGGTTCGAACATTTGGATTTGGCGATCAGAACCGCAAGTTATCAGCCTCTTGTCCTGTGTCCAGCACATGCCCTTGACGAGGTTCTCGTGCGCTTGTGCCTGCCATTTCTCTTCTCTGCTTGTAAAGTCCCAAACTTTTACAATGCCATCACCGCTGCCACTGGCGAAATGCTCGAGGGAGTTCGGGTCCTTTGCAAAAGAGTATACACCATCGACATGTCCGGGCTCAAAACTGCCTAGAAAAGGTTGCGCAAACATGCGCTCGACTTTTGTCGCATTGAGAGCTCTTGTATATTCTCGCGCGCGTTCGAACGGGTGCTGGTTGGGATCGAGATTCCGAGTGACCTTGGAAACACTCGATCCAGGCGCCTGTGTCGAGGCAGTGGACCGGCTGAGGGCTTTGATCTTCATTGTGCTTGTCGTCGCTGTCCAGGTCGTCCAGAGTCGCCGTCGCGAAACTTTTGGCGGGTCTGCGAGATTTCTAGAGGCAAGGGTGGGGCCAGCCAACCAGCAGCGCCGCTAGCCAGGTTAGCGTGGCGGCACCGGCCAAAAGATCTAGCGAGACCGCCCACAGCGCTTTTTGGCTTTGACGACAACCTCAAACTCCACGACCAAGTATCCCATCACTAACCCGGACGACAGCCACAATGAAGTTGTGAGTGCCTCCTCGAACCTACGCACGATTTCTCCCGGCATGCATGTTGGCGCACCGCGATGCTCGTCTACACGTGTTCCGGGGCGCCAATGCCTGCACCTGGGAAAATCTGCAACATGCGACAGAACAGCTGCTAACATATCATTTCTAGCCTCAAGGTCGGACGCGTTGTCGTACGTTAGAATCGCTCGAATCCGCTCAAATACACTCACTTACAGTCCGCCTAGATCATCACCCGGGGCCGCTATGCCGGAAAGAAGTGTGTGATCATTTCTCCCCTTGACAACGGCACCAAGTCGCACCCCTTCCCCCACGCCCTCGTTGCCGGTATCGAGACCTACCCATCCAAGGTCACCCGCCGCATGTCAAAGACCAAGCAGGCCAAGAAGAGCAAGGTCAAGCCTTTCGTCAAGCAGGTCAACTGTATGTGGAAGTGAGGCTGGTCGGAGGAGCAGGTACTAACAGTAGCAGACACTCACATCATGCCCACCCGCTACACCATTGAGCTCGAGAACCTCAAGGGCGTCATCTCTGCCGACACATTCAAGGAGGTCTCGCAACGGGAGGAGGCCAAGAAGACCGTCAAGAAAGCATTCGAGGAGCGATACCAGTCCGGAAAGAACCGATGGTTCTTCACTCCCTTACAGTTCTAAGCTTTCCCTTTTTGGTCACGGCTGGGCGCAGATGGGCATGATTTGGCACGGAAGATTGTGCATGAGCATGTCGGTGGATATCATAAGATGACAGGACCCCAAAATCCGGCCTGGCATCATGGCGTGTATATCGGCTTGATAATCAAAGCATGAAAAATCCGGCATCCGGCTCAATTCACGAACTTCATGAAATGCACATGAGTTTCCACATTGGCCTTGTTATTTTAGGTTGTTGGGTGTTGACGTGATGCGTTGGGTGATGCTGATAGTTGTAGTGCCACGCCCATGTCCTATTCGTTTTTTCAACTGCCCTATCGAACGATTCTACGATGATGCGATACTAGGATGCTACGGAACCAATGAGACTATGTATTGTGACTGACTTTTAAGGTTCAATGCAAACGAACGTTATCATATGGGGATGACAGATGAAGGCTTGAATCGTGTCAAGGCAAAGGTCCGAAGTATCGATTACACCCATGTCATTTCCTCGGGCATCTTCATCTAGTCTCTCAGAAAAGGGATATCATAGTTATTACTCAATCTACCTGCAACCCAAAAATGGGACATACACACACTCCAGCAAAATGGACGAACAAAGATCTGTCACCGCCAACGACATGGAGAAAAAAAACTCTCAAAACCAAACGCTTTCGCTTTTCCCATGAAATAGGCCCAGCTACCGCGCAAAGCCCATAAAAGACTTGAAAAATCCGAGATTGGAAAAAACAAAGAAGAAGAAGATGAAGAAGGTGTCGTAAGAAAAACTTTCTACTGCTTAACCTCCTCAGTCTTCTTCTTGGCCTGCTCCTTGCCCTTGTTAAGGTAAGCAAGGAAAACATCACAAGCATCGCTAATCATCCTGAGCTCAAAGCTAACGGCGGCAACACCCATCTTGACGACGCCATTGTTATAATGCGTCTTGTTATACTCATCCTGCCAGGCACCATGGACATAGTTGACAGGCGAGTAGGCATACTGCTTGAGCTTCTGTGTGTCCTCCTTGACGATGGGGAGGTGCGACTCGAGGGTTGAAAGGCCGCTGTCGCCGAGCTGGTCGGCGCGGGCGAGGTAGGGCGAGATGTAGGAGTAAGGGGTGCGCAGGTAGGGGTGCAGGGGCGCGACGACGTTGTTGTACGTGTTGCTGGCAAGGGTAAGGGCGCGCTCGCCGTAGGGATGTGTCTTGAATGTTTCGACGCTGTCGTGCACGACGGGGTACGAGTTCAGGTGCTGAAGGTGTGTTAGTGTGTGTGCGTGGCGTGGGATGGTGGCGCACTGGGGACAGTAGTATGACGTACCGAGAGGATTCTGGAGGTGGGCACGTCGCCGTTGGTGAGAGGGACGCCGTTGGTTGCCATGTTGCCGTCGTCAGTTGCGTGTGGTGCCATTGGCTGGAGGAGTTTGTTTCCGTGTAGAACGAGATGTGAAGGTGGGGGGCTTGCTGCTATGTTCTTGTTGAGCCGCAATGAGGGGGCAACGGAATGGATGGATGGAGAAAGAGAGAGAGGAACAAATAAAGTGAAGCAAAACCTGCAAAGGGGTTTCTCTTCGCCTTATTATAATGACCCAGCCGCTACTATGATGTGACTGAGCTTTGGTTGGCGGGACCTTGCTAAAAACGGCGTGGCTTGTGTGCGGATGTGGTGGGAGCTGGGAGCACGAGTACGGGTGTGCAGTTGCATGTGAAAGTGCCCTTATCGATAGGCCACCACCAATCCGTCAAATCATTTCTTTATCAACCTCCCCCTTCGTATCCGCTACTGTAACTCGATGCCCACGCGCATGCCAAAACAACGGCCAATGCACAACCCCCCTTACGCCCGTGTTTTCGCCGCCCCGGTTTTTTTCCCTCTACCTTCCATTGTTCGCTGCCACTGCCTTGGGTGGGCGCGGGATCCGCATGCGCAATGTTGAGAAAAGAGGAGTAAGATAGAGAAGTGCCGATGCGTATGCGTAAGTGTTAGAGTGACGAATGCAAGCCATTTGTTACACAGGGCCCAAAGTCAAGAATCCCCGATGCAGCCTGTCGCTTGCACCGTAGGTCTTACACATGCTCGTTCCCCCTTTTTATCCCCGGGCCAATTGTATATTTGAAGCGATATTGCACAAATTGAATATATTTTCAGGAGCTGCGTGTCGCAGCGCTGCAAGTTGTGTTCGGGGCTGGGTTCTTTGAGCTCTGTCTCTGTCTGTCTCTCTCTCTGTCTCGTCTTTTGACATGTGAAAGACAGGGCGAAGGAAAACGCGCTGGCCAATCCAAGCCGGACCACCCGCGCGCGACGTCAGATAAAAGTCGGCCCATAAATCCCTGGTCCCGCGCGTACTTGGCTGCCCTGGCTCGTGAGATTTACACCAGGTATAGCAACTCCATGCTGTTCTAAATTAGTAGAAGCAGGATTTCCTTGCCTTCCGACATCTTCTCTTACTCTGCCATTTGCACCTCACATGATTGAAAACGTCTTTGGCTTATCACACAGTTTCTTTCCCTTGCGCCTGCCTGCCCACCCTTGCCATTGATCGCATTCGGGCGCCTGCTCCGTCATACGTTGCCACCACGGGTACTCTGGCCGTACAGCTCTTAGTGCCAGCACGGCGCTGTGCATCTGCCATTGCAATTCGGTGGAGAACATCGTTGAGCTGCCTTGTTTCCCGCGTCTGGGATTCAAGGGCCTATGCCAGCCCTTGGAATGGGCAACAGGCAACGCGATTGCATGTGAAAGTGGAGTCCCTCCTATTTTACATACATGGCTGTTTTTCTTGGGAAGTAAGTAGTAAGATCTCGGCTCGTGGGTCAGAGGGGGGAATGTCGGGTCGAGGCCTAACTGTCCATTGCGAAAAGACGTGCAAATAATAGGCACCTACCTATTCCAGCCCCATGCATCTTTCAACTACTGTGACTCGCATCTGGGATCAGAGGCCAAAACGGCCAATTGTCTTCGGCCCTTTCTCTATCTCTTATTCCCTATCTCTTGTGCTATGCTGCGTTGTGTTTCTATGCACTACCTCTATCACATGACTTTGGACTACCAACGATAGAGAGAGAGAGAAAAAAAATCGGATATCCACATTCAGCTGCTGCCGAGCAAGTCAACCCAACGAGCCGCGGCAAGTCAGCCCTTCCATCACCGAGATACCTCGACAATCGGCTTTCCTTCGCATACAGGGCGGTATGTCGGGAAGGATCTGGCGCTACGGTCGCACCCACCCATGTCCACGCCACTTTGCCCTCTCTCTTGCTCTATGCGATCGAAGAGAGAGAAAAATAGTCTGTTTTCATGCGGTCATGCAAAAGTGGGTTATTGGTCCTAGGTGTACATGGCCAAGACAACAAGGCTACGTAAGCGAAGCGCAAACGAACAAACGGCGTTTTGGCATTCTGGGAACGATCGCTCAACCTCGCTCGATTTGTTGAGGACCTGGTTCCGTAACGAACCCAACCTGCCAAACACGCGCGCGTCGTCCGTCCCTAGGCAACCCCAACCCCCAAACCGTAAGAATACGAATCCGAAACTCGGGTACTCCTTTGCCGTTGACTTGGCATTCTGGTTCACAACATATGAACTACTTTCTAGACGAAAAGAAAAAAAATTAAGAAAAAAAAGGAAGCAACATAGACCGCATAGTGCGCCGTTACACCCAGCAACCGTCTCCAAAAAACCCACAGATTGATCACTTACAACAAGTCACTCTAACTATCCCAAGTTCCCACTCATCGTCATACCACATTCCCTCTACCCCACTAACTCCCCCTCCATCCAACCAAAACCAACCCTCTACCTCTCCACCTTATCTCTCCCATTTCCCCTAGTAGCCCCCCCCAAAAGTAACAACACCATAGCGTGTATCGCTCGATCTCCCTCCTTCCCTAACCTTATCCACCCCGCCCCAATCCCCATCTTTCTTCGTTCGCCCCGCGGAAAAGTGACACAGAAACGGAGACACACACACACGCCCTGTCAGCCCAGCATATACCTCTTACATTACTATACATATTGCAACATTGTCTTGTTATTTGCCCCGCATTCTGGGGCCCAAAACGTCAGACTTGCATGCTGTTGCGTCGCGCGCCCGCGCGGAGAGGCGCTCCAAATCACGGGGCCTGGACTGGCATTCTTCTCCTGATGCTTGGAAGGGGAGGGGGGTGCCGTAGGGCGTAAGCAATAATGCGTGCGTTAGCTATATATATGTAAAAAAAAAGTATCTTAATTCCTCCGTTTCATCTATTTGGCCGGAGTAAGGGTGTTGGGATTTGGACAAGGCGTATTCAAGCGAAAGAATATTTTCGGACTTCACATACATCCACACATGTGTGCTATGAGACTTTTTTTCTTTTCTCTCTTTTTTTCCTTTTGCGAGATACGTGGTTGTTATGCAGAGTGAGATGTTTCCCCCCCCCCCCGTTACGCATAGCTAAGACAATCGCTCGATTCGAGGCTTTGTTGAGGTACGCGGGAAGATGCGAGAAGCGGGCTGGAGTGCGATGGGGGGGGGTTCGTCATTCATGTGGGGAGTTCAACAAGTGTCAGCCTTATGGGTCGATGGGGGAATGTCACGCCATTGGGAGGGGCGGGGAGACGGTCGAAGTACCGATTAGTGATGGAAGGTTAGAGATGTGTAGGCGAGATGCTTGGATGTTGGAGCTGAGCTGGGGATGGATCCCGTGGGATGTTGACTGGTGGGTGGAGTTTGATTGTCGATTTGACGGTTTGCTCTGAGTAGGGTGAAAGTAAACTTTACCGTTTCTCCTGGAGTACATTTCATTTCCGATCGACAAGTCTTGAGATAAGGCGTCCACAGGTAACAACGCCCGTTCAAAATCCATCACATCAATCTGGAGCAGAGCAGAGAATCCAATATTGAAAACTATTTTATTCTTCGCCATCTATGATACTTTTGCAAGTGCAAAACTCACAAGATGCAACATTACACCATCCTTTTTTGGAATATTAAACGCCAAAAACCTATGCTAACCCTCAAATGACACAAAAAACACCTCATGGCAAGTAACATACATACAAAAAAGATCAACAACTACCGGCCGTGACTAGTGCTTCTTACTCTTCTTCTTCTTTTCCTTCTTGGGTTCCTCCGGAACCTCCTCCTCCTCAACCTCATCCACATCTTGCATCTCGACGTCCCGCATTTCCACTTCCACACCACCCTCATCCTCATCCTCCTCTTCCTCTTCTTCATCCTCGCTTTCAGAGTCTGAATCACGCTTCTGGCGCACATCGTCATTGAGGACATCGTTGACCTCGGCGACTGCCTGCTTGAGCGGGTCACGAATCCTGACAGGGGCAAGAACGTCAAAGGCACCTGTACCAACTGTGCTCAGTCTGCCAACAACAATCCTGGCACTCGGGTTCTTGAGCTCGTCCCAGTCATGCTCGAGGACGGCATCCTTGAGGAAACCAACAGTGGTTTCGAAACTCATCTTCATGAACGGACTCACGTTACCCTTCATGCCGATGCGGTTGAAAGGCGAGAAGCCTCCACCCTTGGTCATGGTGTCGGCAATGAGGTTGAGATGGCGCTGGTCGACGCTGATACCGTGACCGGAGAAGACGGCGTGCATTTCGCGCACAATGGTAGCACGTGCGGCTTCGACACCATACAAGTGCAACATGGCCACGATGTCGTTGGTCATGGTGCGGTTCACGTCGATGATGTGAGCGTATTCCCGCATGGCAATGAGATTGGAACCTTCCGTGTTGATGACATTCTCCGGGACATCCTTCGATTGAGCCGAGAACTGCGCGGCCGTGATGCCAGGAATGACATGGATGGTGGAAAAGTTGGCAGCGTCCTCGACGTGATGGAGCATGAGAAGCTTCGCCGTGGAAGCTGAGAACTCAAAACTAATCTCGCAGAAAGCGCCCTTGCGGTCGTCGAAAGTGAATTCAAAGATGTCAGCATTCTTGGTGCAAATGCGGTTACGGCGAACGTCCGAGGCCTCGTCGGTAGGAATAATCATCTCTTCATCCTCATCGTCTGACTCGGCATCGGGGGTAGCGGCGCGTGATGGCTTGGGGCTGCCACCATATGTCTCGTCGTCCTCGCTGATTTCATCCTCTCGGTCCAGTCTAGCATTGGCAGCTTGTTCTTCCTCCTCTGGTTCCTCATAGGCTACACTGTCCTCACGCCTGCCCCGATCCTTGGCATGGGTGTTGTCATTGTCGCCTTCGCCATCATCACTGTCTTCGTCTTCAGCACCACCTTCCCGATCAGCCTGAAGAGTTTCTTCGGACTCCTCAACTGTCGCTTCATCACTCCTACCAGTCTTCTCGCCAATTGTGGGAACACTAGCTGAGCTTGCTGTAGAGAGTGACTTGTTTGCGGCCTTCTTCTTCAGATCGGCGCGAATCATCTTCTGTAGTCGAGGGCAGAACTTCTGCTCAATCGATTCGGCAACATCACGGACCTTGATAGCATACTCCTTAGTGTACTCCTTTGCAGGGTAGAAGTCTAAACGAATCTTGTAGGTTCTCGCCTGACTGAACTGAGTACCCGCGCCGAGCGTCTCTGTTACGGTGACCTTGTCAAGCACAGCGGAAAGTGGTAGACGCGTGATGCTCTTTGCAAACTTTTCGCAATCCTCTTTTGACAGCTCGGGGTGGGGATATAGTTGCATCGAAGGTGTGGAGATGTTTGCACTAGCCGTCATCACGATTTCTCGTAGACGAGGGATACCAAGAGTGACGTTCTTTGCAGAGTGACCAGCCAAATGGAAAGTGTTCAGTGTCATCTGTGTTGAAGGCTCACCAATCGACTGACCAGCCACAACACCAACAGCCTCACCAGGCTCAACCAGCGATCGCAGGTATTTGAGGTCGAGCATCTGCTCAAATGTGCGCTTAAGAATCTCGCCTTCTTCATCCTTCTTCTTGTTCTTGAGCAGTTTGTCGGGATTTTTATCGCAGTACTCGCGCTTGGCTTGCAAAAATGTTTCCGAAGTACTACCACTGTGCCGTGAGGGCGTATAAACTGCAGTGGCAGGGTCCATGGATGCAGTATCGCCCTTCCTCGCCTTCTTCGCAGCCTTCTTGTTATGCTCAGCAGCCTCAGCACTGGAGACACGAGGGTAGGCCTCTGCAGTGTGAAGGGCTTGAGCCAAAGAGTAGAAGTTCTGAGCCTGGAACTTGAAGTCGTTGAGATATTTCTGCTTGGTCGTATCAAGTCCATCCTCTCCGTAGAGGAACTGGACCATAGAGCCATCTGAATCACGGACCGAGGTGTCGTATTCAACGCGAAGACCTTCCATACCCTTGATGATACATCGTTGCAGGTAACCGGAACGCGAAGTCTTGACAGCGGTATCAATAAGACCTTCTCGACCAGCCATCATATGGAAATAGTACTCCTGTGGTCGGACACCAGTCAAGAAACGGTTGACAATGTAACCACCAGCACGGACGCTGGTTTCAAAAGGCTTGAAGCACGGCAGCGTTTTACCACTGATCATGACGGGAACTCTTCGGCCTTCAAGAACTTGCTGTCCAAGATTGCAAGAAATCTGGTTTGCGTTGACCATGCTACCCTTGGCACCAGAACCTGTCATGGCTTGCATTTGATTCTTGGGGAACGCCTTGATGAGCTTGTCAGGAAGGACGGCCGCAGTGACCGCCGAAGAGATCTTGCTGTTTGCAGTGTTCGTGAGAAGATCGAGACCGTGTTGCTTCGTATCATCTCGCAAAACTGCTTCAAGTCGTCGCCGTAGCTCTGGATTGGTAGGGTCGATCTTTTCGGCGTTCAAAGTAACATACTTGGACGCTACTTCGAATCCGATATTTTCTGCTTTGCGGAGCTCTACCAATCTTGCCTCCTCTCCTTGTCCGGTAAGGATAAGATCCTCAACACCGCAAGAGAATGCACGCATGTGTAGCATCTTGGTAAGTAACCGTCCAATGATACTCAAAGCCCTTCCAGCGATGGTCTCACCATATGCCTCGTAGATACCGTTGATCAGACCGCCAGCAGCAGGTCCAATCTGACCCTTGTCCATGATGCCAGTCAAAAGCGCGCCATCCTTGACTATGACAAACTGCTCTTCGGAGTGTGCGCCCCACAGTTTGCCGTTTGTGGATGACTTGGACGAAAGTGTTAGATCCTGGTATTCTGCTGGCTTGATGTTCTTCAAGACGGTTGTGATGATCTGTTTACCTGTCCACATTGGTTGAGGCTTCAGGATAGCTGGCACAACAGTCTCAAGCCTGCCCGAGGTCGTGTGGCCATCCTCTGGCCGCAAGCAAGAGTAGAGTAGCTGGTGGTACTGATCTCTCGTAAAGAAGGTGTCTTTGTTGGACAGCCAAACTCCCATGGAAATATGATCTTGAATCAAACCTCGTAGGGGTTTTCCAGCGGTTGCAGACAGATACTGGTGATCAGTATCTGCGATAGTCATGGCCTCCGCGCGAGCAAGCTCATTCTGGGGGAAATGCATGTTCATCTCGTCACCGTCAAAGTCGGCGTTGTATGTGTTACAGTTGGCGTAGTGCATACGAATCGTCTTCTCTCCTGGCAACACACGTGCTCTGTGCGCCATCATAGAGGGCTTGTGCAGTGTCGGTTGTCGATTCATAATCACCACATCGCCATTGTTGAGATGGCGATGCACTTTCTTGTTCTTGGCACCGTTGGAGTAGGAATTGGATGGGGCGAGTAGCTGGTTGGCCAAGGCTAATCGCTCTTCGTAATTCTTCTTCTTCAGCGAGATGATTTGTCCGAATTCGTTCTCAATGGCGTGCGCTCCAGGCCACTTGTCTGGGCCATTGAGTACTGCTTCCTTGAGGTCGTAAAAGTTGTGGTTGGTGACAGGCTCAGGATAAGTAAGCTTAACGGCGAATACTGGAGGGACACCAATCTCGTTGGTTTCGATATTCGGGTCGGGTGAAATGACACTTCGTGCAGCAAAGTTGACACGCTTGCCCATCATGTTCTTCCGGAAAAGACCCTCCTTCTTCTCGAGACCTTGTTTGATACCATCGGCGTTGGTAACCGCACCACGGCCTTGTACGGGGTTGGCGTCGCGATCAATGAGGGCGTTCACAGCGCCCTGTAGGTTCACGAATTGAGTCTGCATGTCGTCAAAGTTTCGTTGTCTGAAACCTAGCTCATTGGGCTTGCCTTGCATCTCCTGGCTGATCTGACGAATGCTTTCGCAAGCCTCCAGGATGCCCTTGTAGAGCTTATTCTTAGACGACTCAGCAATGGAGTCGCCCGTCTTGTCTTCAGGTCTGAACTTGTTGGGAGGGACAATGATGGCTTGAGTGAAGAACATGTCGGCGCTCACATCCACCAGAGACTTTGATCCGTATGGGCTGTAGAGCAACCGCATCATCTCCGACTCGTTCTCGAAGAGCAGAGTCATGGCTGCCTTGACTTCACTCGAGTTAACGTACTCTTGTGCGGCTTCCAAGGTCTCATCCGTCTTCGCTTTCCTGGCCATGCGTGCCTCGGTGGCGACGAGCGAGCCATCGGCTTGTTGCAAGTCCTCCATATCGATGTCCTCATCTTCTTCAGAGGCGGGGTCTAGGTCCGCCACACCCTCGTCCGCATGTACGTGTTGCTTCTTTGCCTTCGCGTCTCGCCGGGCCAGAATATCGAGGGGATTTTGGATGCGCTTCTCCGCCTGGGCCATCTTGGTCTTGTCTTTCTGGCTAAGCGCCTTTCGGAAAATTTTGATGCCCCGGTCTTTACGGTACGTAGGACTGATGCCCTGGCAGTTGCCACAGGTCCTGCGCTTGACAAGCTCTGCGTAGAATTCTTTGACTACCTGTCGGCGCGCATCGGAAATGGCTTCATTCTTTTCGCGCACCGACCTGGCATCATGCTTTGAAATGCCCGCTCGCTTCATGCACTTCTTCACATAGCTGTTTCGCTGTGAGATGATGTCATCTTGGTCGTTGTCTTCATCTTCGGAATCGTCGGCGGCCCGTTTGCTTGTCTTGCCCTTTTCAAGATTGATGTGCTCGTGCATGTCGTTTGCCTCTTGCACCAATCCGCATCTTATCAAGCGCAGCTTGGAGACAAACTCGTTGACCTGCACACGGGGGAACTTGAGCTGATGGCAGTATGCGCACTTGCCTCGGAGCAGTCGCAGCAGCTGGTCAATGAATGTGAGGTGGTATACAGGTACTGGGAGTTCGATGTGGCCGCAGTGGCCAGGGCAGCCCAGGAAGTTTGTGAGACCGCATGTTCCGCATCTTGGAGACTGTCAGCATAGACAATGGGGTCTTGAGTGGCCGGATGAAGCTCACGGATTGTCGAGGAAAGCACCGAGTGCTGCATCGTGCAGACCACCTGGCACTGGGTGAAGCAGCGAATCGAATGTGGTTGGGTTCGTGATGCGCTTCACCGAGAGCGACTTGATGTCTTTTGTAGTAAGAAAGCCAAACTCGATGCCATTAATGGCCGAGGAAGTTGGCTGGTGGGTATTCATGGCGTCGCCTCAGTGCCCGCAGCGCCTGTACTCGAAGCAATGCGCGCGCAAAGGCGGTGGTGGTGATGTTCGCAGCAGCGCGAAACTTGCGGGGAGTTTTTTCGGGACCAGAAAAGTTCGTCCAGGGTTTAGCGGTCATGCACGCCAAGACACCTAGCCAGGCCGCAGCGTGCATTTCGCGTCACTCCGCAGCCACTGGCTTCTACCATTTCCATCACTATTACCTCTCAACACTCATCTCGAGGCACCCCTTTGTGCTTCTTCGCGCCAATCCAGCAGGCCAATTCACTGGCTTCGAGCGGGCCGACGAGTGACTCAGCGACTGCCTTGCGCCTCCCAGACAGAATCTCTCCCCCGAAACTCCGCATCCACACATACACACACGACTACCCACCATGACCATGGCCGAGAAGCGCCCCTATCCCGAGGGTCAGGGCCCGAATAGCGATGTGAAGCGCCCGAAACCATCAGATGCTGTCGAAGCTGCAAAAGCCAGAGCCAAAGCAAAGGCCGCCGAAATTGCAGCCCGATTCGCGAAACCCGCTGCCTCTTCAACCCCCCCACCGCCGGCGGCTGGGGCAAGTGATGCGGTTCAAGACAAACTAGCAGCCATGAAGGCGAGGATGGAGGCGCTGAAGGCGGGCTCAGCAGCCAAAACCCCCGCTCCCGATTCCACGGGCCCACGCTTTGCGACAACCCTGGGCAACCGTCGCTCGGAAACGCCCCTGGTTGATGCGAAACCCAAGGCCGCGGTGATGAGCCAAAAACAACCGCAAGATGAAGAGCTAGAAAACCCGTACTTTGACCCCAAGACTGCTGCTCTTGCCAAGAAGAGGGGCCCCCGTGTCCTCTCGTTCAACGAACATGGAAAGTACCTCGACCAGGCCTCGAAGCTGCGCGCACAACGACGACTCGAGGAGATTAAAAAGACACTCGCCATTCAAGCCCGCCGCGCTGGTCTTGATGAAAACAGTGAACGCGGCTTCCTGGTCCAGTCCCCTCCGGATATCGAATGGTGGGACGAGGGTATCCTAGCCGAGCCCAACTACGATTGCATCGACGACCCGTCCAAAGTCAAGGTTGACACTGATGATTCCATCATAACACTATATGTCCAGCATCCACCACTACTCAAAGCGCCCCAAGATCAGCGCCTGGTCCAGGTTAAGCCCATGTATCTTACCACTAAAGAAACACAGAAGCTACGCAGGATGCGACGTGCTGCAGACCTCAAAGAACATCAGGCTAAGATTCGTCTCGGTCTTGAACCGCCACCACCACCAAAGGTCAAGCGCGGTAACATGATGCGTGTCATGGGAGAACAAGCCATTGCAGATCCCACAGCTGTTGAGATGCTCGTCGAATCGCAGATCCAGCAGCGTCATGATGACCATGTTACAGCAAATGAAGAGCGCAAGTTGACCAAAGAAGAAAGACAAGCGAAGCTTGCTGCGAACCAGGAAAAGGATGCGCAAAAGGGACTATACATGTGTGTCTTCAAAATCAATACTCTGGCATATGGCAAGCACCGCTTCCAGATCGACAGCAACGCCAAGGAACATGCCCTCACCGGAATTACACTGTTCAATCCTGATTTGAATCTGGTTGTAGTCGAAGGTGGTGCATATGCAATCAACAAGTACAAGAAACTCATGCTCCAGCGCATCAAATGGCATGAGAATGGTCCACCTACAGAGAACCAGATGGAGAAGCAAGCCTCGGATCCGCAATGGCTGAGACCGCTCACCGACACTGGGGATGTAAAGGACCACTCATCCAACAAGTGTACGCTCATCTTCGAGGGCGAGATCAAGGAGCGATCTTTCCGAAAATGGGGCTCAAGAGTATGCGAAACCGCTGGTGAAGCTCGCGAGACGCTTGGCCGCGCCAAGCTCGACAGCTTGTGGGCGCTCGCTAAGAGTATCGAATGATCGCGGTCTGAGACGAAACGTCAGATGATCTGATCAAGCCATCACAGCGTACGGTGTTAGGCGTTTTTATTTGACCAGGGAAAAAGGTCCGGACATCTGATATACGGAGCTTCTTCTTCATTCCAAAATGTAAGTTATACTCATAACCTCCGATAGGATATCTTGGAATCTATGTATTAATGCAATCCTCTTTTTTCTACAGCAGCGTAGTAAGTGATGTTTATATGCAACGCCCGAACCCCCTACTGCAAAGAGATTCTGGATCCCTGTTTTCACCAGAGCCCATATGCGACTAGGACGACATGCTGAAATACCGGGAACATTGAATGCACAAGGAGAAACATGTGCTGATTGTGACGTGAATGTCCCTAGATATGCGGTAGGTACAGAACTTTTTGACCCCTGTATTACCAATAACTTTATTTCTGGCTTCTCTGGGATATCTCAATCCAATCCCTCACTTGTTTTTTTCTCTCCCTTTTTTCCGATTTCAACCGAAAAATTGGCGTAGCCTTGAAGGAAGAGCACATAAACTAGTTTCAAACCATAGCAAAGTGACATGTAACAAAATCCAATCAAAAAAACGGTATCCATAAAAACCCACGATTCAACTAAGTACTCAATCCGTGATCACAAGCAGAAAAAAACTCTCTGTAAAACTCTAAACCCCACACATCTTAATATTCTTAATCTTAATTCCAGTTTAGAGAAAATATATATATACATCGAAAGTAGAAAGGGAGGGAAAAAAAGGAAATCGAACAAAAGAAACAACGGAAAGACAAAATGAGTTAGAGGAGGGGGAGGAGGGGGGTGTAAAATACACACACGCACACAAAAGATATGACAAGACCTCTCTCTCTCTCAAAGTCCGGATAAAAACGTTACGCTATGAAACAAACAAAAAACAAAAGAGGACTCTCAAGCCATCAAGCTCTATCAACAGACCAATATACACACTGTCTCTATCTCTCTCACTCCCTGATCTCAACTAACAACTCATCTCTAGCCCTACTGATTACTTCAATTAACCACTCCTTATCCTCTCTACACCCCCCTCTACACGCTTCCACTCTACTACACCTCTTCAAACCCCCAAATAAGTCCCACTCATAATCTTCTTAACCGCAGTGACAGGTTTCCACTCGACAACCGGACTAGCCGGCACATTCTCGCTCTCATCGGCATCCGCAAACGGGTCATCCTCGACATCATCCTTCTTAGGCGAAACGCTCTGACTCATGCTGACATTGAGACCGCTGCCCATGGCCAGACATTGCTCGTCGCTGATTTCCCAGCGGGCCTCGGTGTTTCCCGGGTTGGCCTGGCCGTCGGTGAAGAAGCGGGCGCGGACGGCTTGTGCGGCTGCGTCTTTGGAGAGGGTGACGTCGCCAAGGCGCCAGTAGATGAGGGCTTTTTCGCGGGAGAAGGTACCTGTGGGTTTGGATTGACAAGCCGTGGTTTTTGAGCCGGGCTCGAGGCGGATGACAAGGACGAGGTTGCGGACTGTGATGCTTGTTGCAGAGCCGAGCTCGAATTTGGGATTGAGCGAGTAGTTGAGGAGGACGGACATTTGCGTGGGTTCTGGTTTCCAGATGGGGGTGAGGATGATGGGAGGAAGAGAGGCAATATTGCTGTCTTCGATGTGGAGTTGGTAGTGGAAGGCTACGGAAGTCTTTGTAATCTTTGACAAGTCCACAGTGTAGTTGCCTGGGTTATCTGGTGCCTGCTCTATAAAGGCAGGGTTGGGCGCTACCTTTTCAAGTACAGAAAAGTTATCTAGTCGTATACTCTCTGTGCCAAAGGGACCAGCCGAAATATCAATAGGATTGTATGCAAGTGCAACCTGCCCGATTACCATTGCCTTGGTGACATTACCCTGCTCAAACCAAGCGCTGACAGTCTCCACTAGTGACGCATTGAGCCCCGGTTCATGCAGGTCCGGATGCTTTACCGTGGTGCTAGCGGAGCTACTTAGCGATCGGCCCGATCGAATGGACTGCGTATCTGAGTGGGCATGGTCATCCGACAACAACGACCGATGCGGAGGTTTGAATGCTGGAGACGAAGGCTGTGGTGGAAGAGGAGGAGCAAAGGTTGCAGAGGTAGGCCCAGAAGCTGGGGCGGAATCACCGCCTGAAAGTGGCGGCATTTCACCTATGCTTTGAAGTTCTGGTGTTGCCGGACTAGGAACAAAAATCGTGTTACGGACATCTCGTCGCCCTCGCAGTGTGCTGGATCGCTTGGGTTGTGCGGCTTGCTGCACTGACGTTAGTGCTGATCGGTTTGACATCCGGAAATACTTACTGCACGCAGCGTGTTGACGAGGTTCGCGGTAGCCGCATCAGCATCGCCATCCTCTTCTTGGATTGGGGCGTTTCTAATATCGAGCTTGAATTGAGGAGGTGGGTTCCCTTCGCTTTGCACACTAGTCTTTGTCAGCTCCGTTAGGGTCTCAGATGTATGTTGTACTTACAATCCAGCCTCCCTTTCTGCCTCCGTGATGGCGTCAAGAGCGGATGGTGGTACAGAGTATCCTTCGGCGTCTTTCCCTGGTTCTGTATGTGTTTCCGTGGTGGTGGGTGCTGGTGCAGGCTCATTGAGCTCTGGTATCGGCTCTTGTACAGATGACGTTCCATTGACAGCATTAGGGGCTTCTGCTTCCTTCTCCGCCTCAGATGACTTGGGAGCGGTGCCGTTGGGAGCGGGTTCGGAGCTGGTTTGTTGGGTGAGGTTCGGAGTATCCGATTCTTGGGAAGTGCTGGGTCGCTGAGAATTCCTTAACGGTGATGTTGGACGTTCGGCCATTGGGGGCAAAGTAGGGATCTGGTTGTCGCGGTCTTTGGATTTCCCCTTGCCAAAGCCACTAAAAGCCGAACCAATGTTTGCTGATGATTTCCGGTCTGGTGATGCCGCGCGTCCGTATGGGTGCGTGCTCTGTCTCCGTCGGCCCAGAACTGTACCGATTCGCTTCAGAGGGTTTGAGCTTTGTTTGTCCTGCGCTGAGGCGCTCTTCTGGCTCCTATTGTCGTCTGCTCCAGTAGGGGAGGATGGCAAGGCAGGTGGTGC